AGGAAAGCTTGAAAAAAAAACCCAAATGCACCTAGAAGCCCAGTACAAACACCAATCTGTGAAAAAAGATCAAATATCGTAATGTCCTTTATAACCCAGCGATAACACGCTGCTTCTCCAAAGAAATCAGCGTCGGTGGGAGTTTGTGCACCGGGCGTACATTGAAAATAACAATTAGGATTACGGTCGAATCTCGATTGATATCCGAAACAATCTAGCGTGTCATGAGCATAAGGACAGGTTGAATTTGGTTTGAGAAATATATTAGCAAGAACAACTCCTTCAAACAATACGGCTAAGGCCGATATAATCGTGAACACACTAATGACCAATAACATTACTCTACGACGAAGATTCGACTTGATTTCATGATTGTAGAAATCAAGAGATTTCTTGTATTGTGCTATGTTGGACTCATTGTGTTGCTGCTCATCCTGCTTGTTTTTGTCTTCTTTTCGCTGAATATGAAACAATGTTTCAATTAAATAATAATATAAATTACCATATTCATGACGATAACAGGATTCGTACCAGAGAATTACGATGCCGACAAACAAGGGTATTCCGCAAACAATTATAGTATTGACTGTCACATAACCATTGTAAGTTGACATTGGTGCGGGCGAGCACGACACCATTGTCTTTTGCGAGAAAATCCAACTTTTACACTTCTCACAAACTCAGCAAGCTATATACTTTATCGTTGTTAACACAATATTTTTGCTACAAGACTGATTACGAGCAAACAATGAAAGAGAAACCTTGTTGTTCGACTGTTAGACTGTCAATGAAAAAAAAACATGTTTTGCTCACTGTTTTCTTTTACATTTCTTGCCCGCTGCTTCGCTGTTGTGGGTGTGAGTGTGGCTGGGTGTGGCGTGTGAAGTCGGTGTGGGTGTGGGTGTGGGTGGGTGTGGGTGTGGGTGTGGGTGTGGGTGGGTGTGGGGATGTGGGGTGTGGATGTGGGCTGTGGATGAGTGCGGCTTGGTGTGGGTGTGCGAGCAGATGTCATTTCAACTAATCAAATCACACCCACACTTAAACACACACCCATACTACACACAGCCACACCACACACACCAATACCAACACCCACACCCACACTCCACACCCCCACCCACACCCTGATCCTGCTAGTTTTTGTCTTCTTTTCGTTGAATATGAAACAATGTGTCAATTAAATAATAAAATAAATTTCCATATTCATGATGACAACAGCATCGATAGCAGACAGTTAGGGGTATTCCGCAAATAATTATACTATTCATCGTTATATAACCTTGGTAAGTTGAGTTTGGTATGGGCGAGCACGGCAGCATTGTCTTTTGCGAGGAACTCCAACTTTTAAACTTCTCACAAACTCAGCAAGCTATATACTTTATTGTTGTTAACAGAATATTTTTGCTACAACAATCCTTACTAGTAAACAATGAAAGAGAAATCTTGTTGTTCGACTGTTTGACTGTCAATGGAAAAAAAAATGTTTTGCTCACTGTTTTCTTTTACATTTCTTCCCCGCTGCTTCCCTATTGTGGCCGTGAGTGTGGCTGGGTGTGGAGTGTGAAGTCGGTGTGGGTGGGCTTCGGCCTGCGCGTGGGTGTGCGTGGGGATGTGGGGGTGTGGATGAGTGCGGGCTCGTGTGGGTGTGGGAGCAGATGTCATTTCAACTAATCAAATCAAATCCACACTTAAACATAAACCCATAGCACACACACCCACACCACACACACCAATACCAACACCCAGACCCAACACCCCACAACCACACACACCACCACCCACATCAAAACCCACACCCACACCCACACCCACACCCACACCCACACCCACACACCCCACACCCGCAAATAATTATACTATTAACCGTTATATAACGTTGGTAAGTTGAGTTTGGTATGGGCGAGCACGACACCATTGTCTTTTGC